CACCCCCACCCTCTCCCTTCTGTCAATAATCTGGGCCCAAGTCCTGGCTGCGCCCCACTGACCTCTGGCAAACGATGGAACCCCCGTTTTCTCTTCTGTAAAACCACATACTTAGCTCCCACATGACTGAAGAGGGTGTATATGGAGTGCGGTGCACCTGCACACAGGCAGTGCCCAGTACACATTTGCTGTCCTCAGACCAGGGCACGGAGACACCTGCATAAAAGATGTTTTTGGCCCGGCCAGTGTGGCTCCGTGGTTGAGCTTTGGCCCGGGAACCAAGAGGGCACTGGTTCGATTCCTGGTCAGGGCACACACCCAGGTTTTGGCTTGATCCCCAGTGGGGGTGTGCAAGAGGCAGTCGGTTGATGATGATTCTCTATCATTGATGTTTCTCTATCATTGATGTCTCTACCTCTCTATTCCCCTCTCTTCCTCTCTCTCTCTAAAAATAAATAAAAACATTTTAAAAAGTTAAAAAAAAAAATAGGTGTTTGTGGCCCTGGCTATGTGGCTCAGTTGGCTGAGCATCGTCCCATACACCAAACGATCACGGGTTCGATCCCTGGTTGGGGTCCGTACAAGAGACGGCCGATAATGTTTCTCTTACATGGATGGTTATTTCTCTCTCTCCTTTCCACTCTCTCTAAAATCAATTTAAAAACTACATAACCTCGGGTGGCGATTTATAAATAATAAGTAAATAAATGATGTTGATGAAAACCCACCTCCTTCCACGGCCAAGGCCAAGGGCCAGGAGGCAGGAACTCTCAGAGGCTCTGAGTCTGAGGTCACACCTGGGCTGTGCAGTGGGGGTGGGGGCTCCCACAGGTGTGCAAACAGAGGCCACCTGGGCACACTCTGCTGCTTCCCTGGGACTCAGAGGAGAGGCCTGTGGGTGGGGCTCAGCTCCCAGTAGCAGTCTCTCTCTCCCTCTCTCCCTCTCCCTCTCCCCTCCCTCTCCCGGCCTCCCTGCCCGCAGGCCTGGGAAACCGTCCCTGGGAACCATCTGTGATGGTGTGGTTCCAACCTCTTGGAGGAAAGTGAAAGTGAGGCTCTGGCTGGTACTCAGAAAGCCTTTCGCTGCCCTTGCCTCTGAGGAGGCCTTTCTTTAAATTAGGACTCGCAGCCATGGTCCCCCAAGCCCCCCAAATTTCCTGAACACCCAGCTGTCTCCCCAGAAGAGAAAGCGCCTTCACTGGACAGAGGAGCGTATTTTAAACTCGGACTCAGAGTTAGCCTGGGCCTATTTCACCCTCCAGGAGAGGAAGAGGGGTGGGTGGCCATGAGGCACAGTGAGAGGGGTCGGGGAGAGAGGAGAGAGAGGACCGGCCAGGAAGGCAGGGCAGGTGGGTGGTGGCGGGGTCCCCTGGGGCCCACGGAGCTCCTGCGGGGCTGGGAAGCTGGCTCCTGCCCCTACCACTGAACCAGGGGCCGTGGAGGGATCGTTTTCGCTGCTACAAAGGGCCCTCGCTGTTCAAAGGCCGGAGCAGCCTGGATTCTCACCGCTGCTGTTCACCTGTGGGAACAGGGAGATGAAGCACTTCATTCATTCTCCACCTCCCTCCCCCCCAGGGTTGGGAAACGCCAGCAAAAGGCAGGGTGCCCTGCCTCCATCCTCAGCCCCTCCCGGCCTCCCCCAGGTTCAGCCTGGCCCCCAGCGATCTGGGGCCTGGGCAGTCCCAATCCTGCATGGGCGTCATCACTGGCCATGCACCTGCACTAGGAAGGTGGGCCCAGGAGGTTGCCTGCTGTGTGGGCTGAGGGACCCGGGAAGACCCAGCACTACCCCCCCCCCCCCCCCCGCCCCCCGAGCTTCCATTTGCCTGCCGAGGTGTCCAGTTTTCTAATTCCCGAGGCCAGGGAGTCAGACAGCTCTGGCAGGGCCCCTTCCTCAGCACCAGTCCCAGGGTCTCCGTGGGGGCTGGGCAGGTAGGACAGGCCAGCCAGCCCCTCCTTCTCTGCTCAATGGCCCAGATGAGGAGAGCCCTTAACTCCAAGGTTAGCTACCAACAGTGCCTCTTGGAACATCGGGGTGGCCCTGGCCAGTGTGGTTCAGTGGATGGAGCATCGGCCTGCAAACTGCAGGGTCCCAGGTTCGATACGGTCAAGGGCACATGCCCAGGTTGTGGGCTCGATCCCCAGTAGGAGGCGTGCAGGAGGCAGCTGATCATTGATGTTTCTGTCTCTCTGTTCCTCTCCCTTCCTCTCTGAAACCAATAAAAATATTTTTTAAAAAGAACACTGGCGTGGAGGTGGGGGAGTTTACACCTCATGTGAGCCCTTGATATGTGCCTCTGTCATTTCTGGTTAACATAGCTGTCTTCCTTTCCATAACTAAGCTCCTTCCTGGAAAAGGAAGTTACAGAGAAACTTAAGATAAGGATGGACGCCTGCAGATGGAATGCATTACCTTGTGAGGTAGTGAGTTCCCCGGGTACTCAAGCAAAGATAGGCCAAGCCCTCTTCAGAGATGCTGCAGAGGGGACTCACCTCTGGCCACTGCCTGGCTGCTAGACAACCCCGTTTTCCTCCACACTAAGATTAAATGATGGAATCCTGCACCTGCCACCATATTCCATCAACCCCAGAGCATGTAACGCCCAGTGAAACTCTTTGAAAAGGAAATAGAAGTAGTGAGTCTATGTAATTAGCAAAAAAAAAAGTAGAAATGAAAATTCTGGAACATGCTTCCAAAGCAAAAATTCCTAAAGCAGAAATGATTTCAGCTCCCAAACTTGGATCCCACCTGAGCCCCGGTAGATATTCCGTTTCCGGAATGATGCAAGTGGCGGATGTGCTGGTCGGGCTTTTGTCACAAGCACCTGAGAACCACCGCCTCGCACAGGGCGCTGGAGCGTCTAGAATGGAAGGGTCTCCACACCTAGGGGATGCTCAGTGTCCGCTCACCAGCTCTGAAGCTTCCTGACCTCGGTCTAATCCAGGACGACAGGGAATCTCCA